TACTTGAAGAGGTCATGTTGCCTTATGCTGAAGAGGACATGCCCTTGAAATGGTTGTTTCAACAAGACAATGACCCCAAACACACTAGTAAACGAGCAAAGTCTTGGTTCCAAACCAACAAAATTAATGTTATGGAGTGGCCAGCCCAATCCCCGGACCTTAATCCAATCGAGAACTTGTGGGGTGATATCAAAAATGCTGTTTCTGAAGCAAAACCAAGAAATGTAAATGAATTGTGGAATGTTGTTAAAGAATCATGGAGTGTAATAACAGCTGAAAGGTGCCACAAGTTGGTTGACTCCATGCCACACAGATGTGAAGCAGTTATAAAAAACTGTGGTCATACAACTAAATATTAGTTTAGTGATTCACAGGATTGCTAAATCCTAGAAACAAAAACGTTTGTACAACATAGTTTTGTGTTTGTACAGTCAACGGCAGACACTGCTATTTTTTTGAACACACCCCTTTCAACTAATTGCCCAATTGCACAGCCTTAAGAGCGTGCATATTATGAATGCTGGGTCTTGTTTGCTTTCTGAGAATCTACTGCACCTACTGGTAACTTGTTTGCCATGTAGCAATAAAAAATATACTAAAAACCTGGATTATTCTGGTTAGTCAAATTATACTGCTATTATTTTGAACAATACTGTAGATCTGAAACATCATTGTGTATACCATTCACAATCTGCAGGGTTAGTGGAAAGACATAATGGCATTCTTAAAGTGAAACTAAGGAAATCCATGGAAGAAACTGGAAAGAATTGGATTTGTTGCCTGCCATTAGTACTCTTAAACATGCATGTAACCCCCACAGGTGGGTTAACACCCTTTGAGTTAATGTATGGCAGACCTTACATCTTTCCACAGCTGAAACCTTACATCATTCAGATGAAGAGGCTGAACAAACACTGGCAGATTATATGGCAAAAATGCTAACATACAAGGAGATTTTTTTGTGCTAATTCTGTTCCAGGGGAACCAGTGGAGCCACAGATTGAAACTGTGAAACCTGGAGACTGGGTGCTACTGAAAGTGATTAAAAGAAAGAACTGGTCCAGTCCAAGGTGGGAAGGTCCATACCAGGTACTGCTCACCACACCTACAGCAGTCAAGATAGCTGAGAGGACATCCTGGATTCATCTGTCCCACTGCAAGCTGGTAAAATCTTTATCCTCATAAAATAGGTGGACAGCTAGCTACACACCACTGCTCCCTGAAGGCAATAAGTCTGATTACAAAGGGGGCTTTTTCCAATAAGGAAGAGTCGTCTCAAAATCAGTGAAGAAACCAACGGCCAATAGGAGCATAGGGTGTGACCTAAAATAATGCAGGGACAGATAGAGCAGGATCAGCTGGGGACTGTTTGGACAAACCCCACCTGTAAAGGTTAGACCTGAGAGTATAACCAGAAACAGGACCACGCGCACCGGCATCTTAATTATATCAACTATAGGAATAGTTGTAGTCTTATTACTTTCCTGGCTCTGTGCTGAAGTGCCACAAGTAGTGACAAAGTTAAGAGAGAAAAGGTACTTTGCCATTCATGACCCGGTGCTTGTGATAGAGGGCAGAGAGGGCGATACCATAGTGGACCTGTGTAACCTTATGCAATGTGACAGACCCAAAACAGTGCATTAGGGAGGACAAGTACATATGTGCTCAGGCTGAGGACCACAATCTTTATAGGCCTGTGGGTAGGGGTAGGAGTAATATCCTATGCTGTCCCACATGGAACTTTGTAGTGGCTAACACCGGACCCCTTGACTGTGGGTACTATCCCACTTCTCCACAGAAAAATCGTCTAACCATAGTTAAGGGCTATAGCGATCCTCGGGACTGTACATCTAATAGCTGTAATCCCCTTCTCATAACTCTGAAGGACGCCAAAGTATCTGATAGCGGCCTGTATCCCATAAGAGTGGATGTGAGAGGAAGTGACCCCATTGGGGCCTTCCATATAACAGTTA